GACGACTGATAAAGACAGCGGACCCTGCGACTGCGCGGGACTAACGCTAGGGAAAAGGTGAGAAGAATTCCACCTCACGAAAATTTCAAGGCTTTGTAAAGTGGCCTGCTGAGCATTCTGAGAGGCGAAGCGAATCTTTCAGCAGAATAACGCCTGTGCATTAAGTGTTTACTGGTGCCCTACCACACTGTCCGACTTCGTATCCTTCCCCAAATGGCCTGTCTATCCACCTTGCCTGTTTCGTCATGTTGTACTATTTAATGAATGATTGGTGAGTGTGTGAGTGATTTAAAGATTGGTGAATTGAAAGCAAAGTCTCGACAGTGCCCCAACTTGGAAGCACATGGTGCGATAAGACAATAGCCGCTGGAACAGAAAATGAACGTAGCAAATGATGCGGTGGTGATGAAAATTGGGGAGAGCCCTCGAGCCCGCTGATCACGAGCCCCATGCTGTGTCCTTTAACAATATTTTATGACCAAGAATGTGTGGCAGTAGTTATGCACAGGGTGCGCCAAAATTTTTTGCTCAAAATTACAGCGGTTGTTCCGTTGATACTTGTGAACGATAAGCGAGCAATTGGTGGTCATCCTTTTGATTACCACGTCCTCCATCAGGCTTCGAATCCCACTTCTCAGCGTCCACGTTTTTCAGAATGGTTGGACTATATTACCGCGCCATAAGACACTCAGTTGAACGTGCTTGGTCCAGTGCAAAAACAATAGCCAAAATGCTACTAGTACGTGGCATAACTGTGGAGTTTGTCATCAAATGATAAAAGGACTCCGAAGCTATGAAATACCGCTGAGAATGGTGGACACCACCAGCTGCAACTTCCACGAAAAATGTTAAAGTGGTACGAGATATGGTGCGGCCCAATCCGACGAGGTCGCTAACAAACATAGTCAAGAAGCTAGAAAAAAGCTATCCCTCAAGCTGTCATATTGCTGAGTAAAAAGCACCACTTTGTATTGGTAGCTGCCAAAATGCCTCACTCCATGCTTCCCATAAAGATAATTCGGTGCGAGAACTTCAAGACATTTTCCGATTGATTACGTCAGGCGCGCCACCGTGAAATGGTCTTCCGGTGGAATGCCGTTTAG